TCAAAATTATCTTTGGGGACTTATTGAACTAAGGAAAGTAGTTAAAAAGTAGTCAAATCTACTAAGAATTTTTTTCAGTGCAGAATTTGAATCCCCTTTAATGCCCTTTAAAGAATTCAATGTTAATTAAAAGGAATTAACTCCACAACAAATGATTCCCTTAAACGGCATTAAAGTAAATTCAGACTCTGGTCACGTGGTTACAGAGAATTGAATTAGATAGAAATTATCAATTTAACAATAGAAAAGGAATTCATTAAGATTGCGGACAAAAACGGAATTGGTTTGGAATTTATTAAGGGCATAAAAGTACCAATCCACTTTAATTCACCCCTTATTACTGGGTTTATACCTTTATTTCTTTTTTAAAATTTATACTATTTAATTACTTATATAAAGAATTAATTTATTTATAATAATTCCTTACATTATCATATTTTATAATAATTGAGTGTCCCTATCAAAGAACCGGTTATAAGTTTTTGAGACTCAAAATTTTCGACCTCTAAATAAAAAAAGGATTTAAAATTTTTATTTCTTGAAAACATTTTGTATTGGTATAAAGATTACCCAAATGTTTCTTAAAAAATTGTGATTAAAAACAGCTTAATTTTTTATTTATAGGGCAATGATTTCGAGCTTCAGGGGTAAGGCCACTGTAGAATTTTCAAAACATAAAATTTTTTTTATTAACTGAAAAAATTCTTTGAACCTTGTAGAATATAGAGCAAAAGGTTTTATATGTGTCTGAAATCGATTTAATTGAAATTTCGAGCTTTTTACCGAGCGCGCCGGGATGTTCCGCAACGACTACCTGCGTCTGATGGCTACCTGTTGGGCAGAAACTGCACGGAGAGAAAAGTTGTAGTTAATTCTACTTAACACGTTTAGTAAGTCAATATGTAGTAATAATAACTGAATATTCAGTTACATTTAATAAACATCATTTAGTTTCGTTTTGTCGATTTTACTAAACAGTGTTGTCGAAGACACTAAATGCTTAGTTAAAGTCACAAAACACTGCGCAGTACACAATTTTTTCAAAATGGCGCTAATGCGATTGCAGATAAGTTTTGATATTCACGAAGTGCTTATTTTGAGGTTAGAAATTGAACGAAACGCTACTATTATTGACAAACATTTCTTTATTAATAGTAATGCAGTTTTCTATATTTAATTTGAAAAATAATTTCTGTAGTGATTACAGAAAAAATCAACATAACCACTTAAAAATATGCAAATTAACTGCTCGAAATTTTTGTGATAATTATGTTTTTGCTTTCTGTCAAAATATAAAAATTTCACGTTGACTTTCTACTACTATTGAAATTATTGCAAAATTAAATGTAGAAAACAATATTTCAATATTTTTACATTTTACTAAACAGTTTCGTCCATTTGACTTTCTGTGCAGTTGAATTAACTTTTTCCTGAGTATATAGTCACAATGACTAAACGCCTGTTTAGTAAATCCTACTACCAGTTTAGTCAGTCCAAAATCGACTATTTTGTTTAGTACATTTAACTGCGCAAGTAGTTAATCCGACTATGCCCTTCTCTCCGTGTGCTCAGATGATGGTGATACAAATACAGAAAGATGTCTATATGATGCTTTAATTACAGATTAATGGTAAAAAATTTTTTCATTTTTTCATAGGTATGTTGTATATATCTTAAAACTTTAAACACGTATTTCTCAAAACACGATTTTTGAAATCTGCACGCAGCATAACTCGTACAATTTTCATTTTTTTTACTCCAAATTTTTATCACTTCTTGAAAATATGATTCCGCAGAGAAATACGTAGCTGATTTTCGATAAGTTAAAATTTCTATTTTTGGCATACAAATAAGTATCTCAGAGCACTATTTTGCATTATTTTTTAATAAAAAAAATTTTTTGGAAACTTTAAAAGATGCCTAAAAACATCCTTAAATATAATTACTCTCCAACTTTTCTTTCTACAAAAAAAAATCGCAAATATACGTTAATTTTGTAACCTTCTACAGTGGCCTAACCCCTCAAAAAACTTATAACTGGTTCTTTGACAGGGACCCTCAATTATAATTACTGAACAAATTACTTGCTTTCAATTTCTACATTTACCAACTAACGTTGGTCAAATGTTCAATGTGTACAATCACCAATTTACTTGGGAAATGTACATAATTTCTTCTGTGAATGATAGATTATTCACATTTACCAAAAAGCTTGGAAAATGTGCACATTCGCCGGTTAATGTGCACATTCACCGGACTTCGCACTTTAACCGTAACACATATAAATGGCACATTTCTTCTAATAACTTCTAAAATTGTCTGTAGATTGTTTTCAAAAACTAATGTGACTAGTATACTTGTGTGTGAGTGTGTCTGTACATATAGGGATGACTATACCCTGTTCCACGAGAGAATGCTGTCGTAAAAGGACGAGTTTTCGTCCACTTCGCGCAGATATTAGAGAAATTGTCACTATTCGCTAAATTTTGAAATTTAGACGGCCCATTTTCCAAAAAAAAATTGTGGCCAAGCCTTTTTCCATAATTTAAATCCCCCGACTCAAGTTTAACTCTCGGCCGACACATGTCTCGACGACCCACGTTTATGACAGTGGTAATAAATGAAAAAAATAGAGGCAATAAAATATTAAAAATGTTTAAATATTACAATTAATAAATTTTTAATAATATATTTGTAATCTATTAATTCTGCCGATTCAAATGATATATAATTTTTTTTTCAACTATGAAATTGAATATTTTCTATTGTCGATCTGCAAAGTAATAAATCTTAACAATTTTTATTGAGAGCTAATTTCACTGTCGAAATCACATAGTTCAATCTAATATATTTTAAATGATTAATAAATTTTAAAAAAATATTTTGAAAAAAATTTGGAGTTCTCATTTGTAATATAATTTAAAATAAAAAATTTTTAATTTTATGTTTAGAAACAAAAATTAAATATCAATGGAATCAGCAAAACTGATAGATTCCAAATTTGTTAATGGAAATTCATTAATTGTAATATTTAAATATTTTGAATATTTTATAGCCTCTATTTTTTTCTTTTATGAGTACCGTCATAAACATGGGTTGCTAGAACACGTGTCGGGAAAGAATTGATCTTCAGAGGTTTGAAATGTATACTCTGTCCAACGAGAGAATAACCTCTCAAAATGACGAGTTTTCGTCAATTTCGCGCAAGATATCATAAAAGTGATAGAGTTGGCGTGGCTTTCAAACTAGGGCCGCCTTTTTTGAAAAAAAACCTTGGCTAGAACATATGGTTTAAATTGTCTCCTACGGTCCCTTTTCAGCTCGAGCGTTCGCAGGTCTACGTTTATGGAAGTTCTAATAAACAGCACGTTACAGTGTAATAAAAAATTATAAATTTGTTAATATTATAAATATTTTATTTTGAATAATATATTCGGAATCTGCAAATTCTCACGATTTTAAGGATATGTAATTTTGATATAAATGAAAGTAAAGTCATGCACTTCTTTTTACAGTAAAGTTAGCATTTTTTGACATTTTATCACAGGACCGCAATTTAATTTTAAAATATCAGAGACAAACAACATACTGTTGGAATCAGAAAAAAATGAGGATTTTAAAAATAACATTAAAAATTTGGTAAGATCAAAATTGATAAATTTTGTACTTTATATAAAATCATTACCATTTGAAAGTCCCATTCAGGTATGAAGGTCATAAATTACCCTTTGGATCGTGTGGGCCCGAGTTCGAACGGGAAAGTCTGAGATTGAGAAGATTGTCATTGGCTATTTTCTAGCGAAAAAAATAGTGAGATGCCATTTTCAAGTTTTTCAACGCCCCAAAAGCAAAAAAAAACTGCGCGATCGAGGTTATTCTCTCGTTGAACAGAGTATAGGTGTTCAGTTAGCAGGCATGATTTTCATTGGTTACAGAATTTTCGGAAAACACCATTTTTAAATTTTTCTCCACCCTTTAAGAAAAAAAAACTGCGCGTCAGAAAGCATTCTCTCGTGGAACGCAGTATATATGTATTCATTACAGTCCAAGCAAAAAATGCTACAGTAACTGCACCATACTATAGCATTTTATTAAAATTTACTTTTGAGAGTGACTGTCGCGAGCGTGCTACCTTAAAAGTTTAAATTTTCTTTTTCGTAAAAATTTACAAAAGTAGGTTCAAAACACACTTCATTAGACACCACAAAAATGAACAGAATGTCACATAACTTCGGACATTTATTTAGAGTGATAACACCCTTCTATAATCAAAATTGCAATGCTCTAACTATGTATTTCCGTTCGAAAGATAATGAATTTTAACTGTTTTCACAGTTTAACATTTAGCCCCAGTCTCCCCTAATTTTTGTATATAATTTCTATTTCTTTATCACAATTGAAAAAGAAAACATATTTTTTTATTTCAATTGAAAACTTTGAATAAATTGTTAAAAAATTCTCATCGAGAAAGAAAAAATTATGCAAAATTTTTTCGTTTTTTAAAAGAAAAATATAATCTTGTAAAAATAATTGACAAATTAAAATCATGTAAATTATATCCATTATTTAATTTATTTATAAAAAAAGTTTAAAAATTATTTAACAAAGTGTTAAATATTATTTTAAAAAGTTGCAAAATTTCTTATTTAAAAAAAAATTCTGATTGTTTGGAATTAAATTCATAAAGATTAAAAATACTATGATAATGAAAGTTTTGGTAGGTACAATTAACTAAATTTGTCTTTAATTATTTTTTTACATATAGTATAGTTTTAATTAACTATCAATTTGTATTCTTTTAATAATCAGACCTAGTATTTTAATAAAGTTTAAAGAGTTTTAGAATGCAGAATTTTTGAATTTTGAAAAACGTGGTAAAAAAATTCTAAAAAATGACATAAATTGAATTTTGACTGCTGGAAGAGTATTATAAAGAATAATTAATTTAAGAATGTCTGACATAAAATAATAAAATTGGTTCTTTATTATTTTCTTTAAAGACAACTTGGCCGCAATCTTATAATTCCCGGTGGCACGAGAACAATTGACGCGAGAGGAAAATATGTTATGCCCGGCGGAATTGATCCCCATACACATCTTGAATTTGAATTCATGGGAACGACAAGCGTTGATGATTTCTATCAAGGCACCAAAGCGGCGGTATCAGGTGGAACGACAATGATCCTAGACTTTGTCATTCCAAGGCCAGATGAATGTATTCTTGAGGCCTATGAAAGGTACAGAACTAACGCTGATGAGAAAGTTTGTTGCGACTATGGTTTACATATTGGCATCACTTCCTGGAATGCAAAGGTAAAACATACTAATTTTAACCCTTTTTTTAATAATAATAATGTACCTCTCATTTACCTTTAATTTACCTGTCTTCTTAATTTATCTCTTCTTCTTCTTCTTCTTCTCGAACCACATTTTAAATAATAATAATAAGTTTGTAATGAGCAGTTAATATCTATATGGGACACGGGAATAATAAATACAGTAGTACAGATATTCTCAAGAGATTCGAATTATTGTTATCGAAATTCTATTGTTTTATTTAATAAATATTCATTAATTCATAAATTATTAATAATTCATAACATAAATAGGTAATATTTTTCATTTCTTCATTTAAATTACTAAGTAACTTTTTGATACCCTACAGAATACTCGTGACCATTGTCATCTTTTTACACTAACACTGAAAAAAAATTATTTCATTCAAATAATCGATTACTTGATTATTTATCAAATAATTAATATTTTCTTGAATCAAATAATTTTTATTTGAATCAAATATTTTCAGTATTTTAAGCAAATGACATTTAATTTATTCAATTAAAAATTATTTGATTCAAGTAAATATTTGTTTAATAATAGACAAGTAATCAGTTATTTAAATCAAATAAATTTTTTTGCAGTGTATCTAAACCTTTCTCAATCTATACCGTTAATTTTCACCTGTTTTCAAAGTTGCCACAAGTAAGGAAAAAACTAAAAACCAGGGAAAAGTCAGAGAAATTGTAAAAATCCTTCAAAAGTCAGGGAATTTTAATCGACAGAAATCACAAATTAAAAAAACTTTGCAAAGTTCACACCCAGAAAAAATGTTTAGTTTATCTAAGTTTTTATTTCCTTTTTTACAAATTTTTAATTACTTTATAAAATTTCAATTATCTTCATAATTCAATTATCAAAAATAGAATTTAAATATTTTAAAAACCAAATTTTAAATATAAAGTTTTTTGACACTTATAATTAAAAAAAATTGTAATTGTAACTCTATAAAAAAATTTGTTCGAAACAACCAAATTTTGGTTGAATCAACCAAATAAAAGCATTGCTATACAGTCAACCAAACGTTTGTTTGATTCAACCAAATAATTTCTTTCAATACGTTTATTTGTATTTGTTTGAGAATTGACCGATTGATAGGATTTTGGTTCACAAATAAAATTTGATGCAGACTATTAAAAAAAACTCAGTTTATTGAAAGTAGAAAAAGGTTGTCACTATAATGGCATGACCATGCCGCAATGTGAACACGCACTACAGTAACAAAAGGTTTTCTTATATGAAAACTTTCAATTGGGAAAAAACCCGAGAACTCACTTCTAATTGAGATTAATGTTTTTTTTTACTATTTGAAACCAAACTTTATTAATTGAAATAATGAAAAGTCTGATACTTAACGCGAGTAATGAATGTTTGAAATTTGAAATAAAAAATACTGAACAGTATTAACCAAATGGTTATTACACTTAACCAAAAATTTTTATTTTATATATCTAAAAAAATTGTTTATTTTAAGAGAAAAGATTTGTTTGATTCAAATAAATGTTTTAGTTAACGTATTTGGTTCATTTAAATAAATATTTTTGTTTACTTAATTTTGTTATTTATTTTTCTGTAATAATGTTTGAATTTTCTAATTTAATATTTTCTAGTACATATTATTGGTTAATTTATAATTTATTATATAATTATTGATAGAATTAATATTAAATTAGGAAATTTAAACATATTATTAGAGGAATAGTATATTACATTATAAGGGCAGAAAGTTCGAAATTCTGCCCGTGTAATGTATACTATTTTTCTTTATATACGGTCGAAAGTACGCTCGCTAATTTATTTTTTAAGAAAATTGCAATCGTGTTTCATTTGACAGCCGGCCATCTTTATTTACTTTTGCTCCTCGCTTCAACGCCTCTAGCGGACACTCGTGAAGCTCTGGTTTTTTCTCTGTCTCTCTCTTGCAAACAATATTCGCCTGCCCCGACATTTGATGCACGAGCGAAGCGAGTGCTTCTGGTCGGGGGCAGGCACGAAAAAAAATGTGAAAGATAAATTAATATTATATTTTCAAAAGAATATTTCTGGTGGTACAAAATTAATTTTATGTTTCTAAAATTCTAAACGTTCTAATGAACACAATTTCATTATTTCTTCAAAATATTAAAATTTTATTACAACACGGAAAGAAAAGGTCTGGAAGAGATATCCATAAAAATATTGTTGAGCAGAATATTGTTGTGTTATCCAATTCAATGGAAGAGACAACTTTCAGAATAGAAGCACATTCCATATTCAATGGATGAGGGAGCCATATTATATTGTTGAATCAAATATGGATGTGACATCCATAGGCATGGTTGGGCTTACAATTCATGCTATGGATTTTCACATATGGCTGCCTCATCCATGTAAACTTTGGTTGGGAGATCCATAGTTAGTTCAAAATTTCGATACATGTTGCGCGCAATTCATTATCATGGCATCCATTTAAAAATGGTCGTCTCAATTTGTCCGTCGCGTCGGTTTCCTGTCACGTCTATATAATCACGTTGTGAGTTTATTGTGTATAAATAGTGTTATAATTGTTTATTATTTATTATCGTTATTGTCTATTTGTGTTTATGTAAATTCATTTTCATGAAATATGTGTAGAGTATATAAGGAATATTATATGCTCAAATATTGTAGTTGTGTGTATAGTGTAGTGGATAGCGTTAGTGTTTAGTATGCGTTAGGTCTAGGGTTCGTGTCTCCCCCCATCGGTTAATAATTTATTTCGTTCATATGCGGTTATTCAATAAGTGGTGTGTATTAATTAACAAAAATGTGTATAAAATATCTCAAGTGACATTGAATCTAATTAATTGAGTGATTCCAATTTTTTGTTTCCCATTTCCATTACTATGGATCACCCAACCATTCCCAGTAAAAAAAAACTAATTCAAATGAATTGAAACGAATTAACATTTTTGGTAGGCTCCAATTCGTATTTGTCACAAAGCGGGATTCACTCAAGCTCTTTGTATATTCAATTGAATTTAATTCAATATCCCAATGGGAAATTTACAACTGGCGTAGTACTGCGCCAGCACTGGCAGCACTGGCGGCAAGGCTGAGAGCCAGCACTGGCATGGCACTGGGATGATAACGCCGTCTGGCGCTGCCGAAGTACTGTCTGTCAGTGCTGCCAGACAGCGCTGGCTGAGAATATTGCCGCAATAAATGCCGTATTGCTATTAATTAGTCGTAAATTCATAATTATAAATAATTTAACAACAAAATGGTAAATAATATTAATAAATAGTTATTATTCATAAAATATTTCTCTTCTTAAAGAAATTGTATTAAAGATGGAGACTAACAATGGATATAGTAAATGAAGTAGAAAAAAATTGTTTATAACATTTAAAAATTAAATAATAAACAATTACAGTAAGTGTGCATTAGATTTTCATATTTTAGTACCTAACGATTGGAATCTAGAAATATCGCAAACCTATGAAAATAAACAAAATTGCTGACGAGGGGAATCGAACCTACGACCTACGGACTAACAGACTAACGCTCTAACCACTATGCTAACGACACGTGTGTGCAATAAAATTTTAATATCTCAGTATCATTCAGACATACAATTATTGAGTCAAAGATGAGAAAAAAATAGGGATACGTTAGAAATAATAAATTGAAATAAAATAAATTGAACTAAATTTTTAATAATTAAATTACTTTACTTATTGCATTTAACATTTTACGTAATTCTTAAATTACGTGGTAATTTTTTAATAATTTTTTATTCATAGTAAGAAGTATAATAGTATTTTAATAGGAACCAAATTATTATTGAGATTAAAGTTTAAATTTTGTTTATAATTTTAATTTGTTTAAATAATTTATTATTTACAAAATTAGACAATTGTGTTAAATTGTTATTATTAAATTTAATAAGAATAAAAAATGAACAACTGAAAAGTAAAATATTAATTTTTTTTAATAAATTTATATTTATAAACATTCATAAACTTTTTTTATAACTTTTTTTCAAGTTTATGTCAAAAAAGCAATGTTGGCAAAGAGCGTTGTGAACAATTTTTCTATACTCAGCCAGCACTTGCCGCCGTGGCTTGTCCAAGCTTTGGCGAAACAAAAATTCTGTACTGCGCCAGCACTGATTGTCGAGGCTCGGCTAGACTACGCCGAACAATCGTCTGAGTACTAAGTCAGTGGTGAACATCGGCACTACACTGGCATTTCCCATTGGGATGTACCAATTTGTCCAAACGAATTCGCATTCGAAAGAAATGGCCAAGGAATGCATTGAATTCGTGCTAACGAATTGAAAAAAATTAAAGGCTCAAAACTTGTCCAGTGAATTGGTACGGATAGAAGGTTCGGAAGTTCAATACAGTTTCACGAATTCAGGAAAATTGCATCATGGCTCCAATTCGTATTTGTCACAAAGCGGGATTCACGAAAGCTCTTTGTGAATTCTTTTTAATTCATTTCAATTAGTTTTCGTTTACTGGGTTGATCTTTTGCTGCTCCAACAATATACAGCCAGCCATAGAATATGGATGGAGCAACCTTAACGATGGATATCCCGTATTTTTCAATATAATATGGCTGTGATATCCATGTATCTGGATGTGTCAACTATTCCTTTTTCTCCGTGAACATTTTGGCACATATTAAAAAAGAAATTAAAAATTTTTTAATTATTTTATTTTTAATATTTATTAAAATAAGTTTTGAAAAGAATTATATCAGCAAAAAAAATCGTTCATTTCAATATTCAGAGCTTGTGGATACTAAATTTATAAAGTAAAAAAAGTTTTCTTGATAATTTTTTTTCTCATTTTATATTGCGATAACAATTACTCGTTAAATTGTCATTGAACTCGAAATTTTCTTATTTGCCGACAGTGGTGTTTTTACCGACAGAGAATTCTTTTAGTAGTAGTAGTGTTTAACATTGGCACTTATACTAGCGTTGCGCTGTGTATATTCGGCCATGA